AGCACAGGACTGTTACATTGGAAACTAGAGTGTAGGGGTAAAATAAAATGGGCTGGTACTTAAAACAGATAAAAAGTAAAGTACTGGAGGAACTCTTTACAGCATTTGTTGTCTGACTGCCATCTTAGCTCCTCTATCTAAAATTTTATGATACTTACTTTATATTCATCTGTTCTGTCATATTTGTAATAGGCAGAAAAATAAATTGTCTATATAAATATTGAGAATGGGCATTGTTAGGGCTGAAAAGGAATAAGGCATTAAAATACACAGCATTTTATGCATGGCGCTTTGTATAAAATGTATGTGAAGAAATAATAGAAGAGTTTTTGATACATTGAACTCACACTTCAATAAACAAAAGAAATTGCTGTTAAGAATTCCAAAATAAACCAAGGGGGAAAGGTGATGGATCTAAAAGCAGGTGGCTGATGGAAAATTTAACTTTTAGAATTTGTTTTTTCTGTCATAAATCATTTTTCAAAATTGTTGGGCTTTACAACATTTCCACTAAATATACCACCTCTTTTTTATATTTTAAAATAAAATAACCAATCTCTTTTTTGGGCTCTCATCAGCAGCGTTCACCCATGACTCAGATGTCAAATCTATAGAAAAATGTTGATTCATGGTTCCAACCTAAGCTATGAAGGAATGTAGCAGCTGGAGAAAGAGTGGGAAAGACAGAATCTTGGCAATTGCCCTGCAGCTTCCCAGGGAGAACACAACATATTTCAGAAGGAAGCCCAAAATAAGATTGTTCTGAACTATATGGAAGAAGGACCAAAAAGTTCAGGGTAACTGCACTGTTTTCTCCCAGGCTATCATTAGCTATAGACAACCTTCTCAACAATCTTCCCTCCCCTCAAAAGAAGAAGTTGGTAGTTGTCAAAAACAATTGGTCCAATTTGAGGAGGGATTACACAGCCTCTTTCCCTTTCCTCAGAGATACAGATACCATGGCATGGACTCAACTATGGGTCCCATCCTTGGCTGCTTTTAGGATCCAGAAGGATCTAGATCTAGTAAACAACTGGCAGCACAGAGAACTTTATCTACTTCCTCTGAAGTTAATTATTCTCCTACCTGCATTCTGTTAGATCAGTTACTCCTTTAAGAAACATTCTTAGTACTAAACTAAAAATACATAGTTTTCACTTTTTGCTCTTTGAAATACAAAGTTTAGAAAAAAAATATTTGCATCTGGAAAGGTTTGCTGAAGCAGAACTGTTTTAAAACCACATGAACCTTCTTACCTTCATTTAGGCGGGTGTTCCAAATACTCTTTTTTTATTTGGTGTTTCTATGGTTACAGCTGTACAGCAGTGGTTTGTTCCTTTCTTGCAATTTGTTTTTTTCCAAGTCATATAAAATAGCTGAAATTTTTTTGATAAGTTGTAGAGGATGGAGGAAAAAAACAAACAGCGCGATAATTAAGATGCTTAAGTGAAGAAATCCTTTCTTCAGTTAAGCCTTGAGTGGGATGACTGATTAGCAAAGCCAGAAATCTATAATTATAGTTTGAACTTGTTATTTTTAGTATTCAGGTTTTCAATATGGCTGGTTCAGTTGGGAAGCTTTTT